ATTATAGGATTAAACGCCTTTTTGAAGGAATTTATTGGTGTATAAACTCGACCAAGTCACTCACAAACAAATAAAAGTCAGAAGGACTTTTATGATATGTTTGTGAGTGACTTGGTCCAGTTTATACACCAATAAATTCCTTTAAAAAGGCGTTTAATCCTTATAATTCTTTAAAATTGGAGATAAGGAATTTATTTTTCTACATTCGTAATTTCTTTCACACATAAATTGTATATTTGTCTCATTGAATTAGCCTCGTGCACGAATATATTTGTTGGTTAACGCAAAAATATGTATTCCATGAAATTTGCTATCTGATAAAATATAAACTTCAAAAACTCTTATTATCATTCAAATGAATGTTTTGTGTTTATTATTTAATTTAACGATTAATGCGAAGTGAATATAAATGTGGTCAACGTTGAGCCGGATTGTGTTATTATCGCCGCTATCTTGTTTACATTGGTTACGAAAAGAAGTTCGGTCAACGTCGTCTATCGAAAAATAAACAATGTCAAGAACAACGTCCGGAAGTTCTCTCGACCAATCATTTAACGTATTCCCCAAAATGCAAATCATATAAGAATTATTGCTTCATACACACAATGTACATACAATGTATCTTTTATTTTTTAACAGGAGCTAAAAGAAAAGCCACAAAGGACAAGTTCAATATGCAGGTTTACAATTTAGAAGTGGCGCAGGTTCTTTGGAATGTCTACAACCTTTCAGGAGAATTTTTTTTTGAAGTAAGATTTTCATACAGAATTACTGTTATTCCATATTTAATTCAAATATTTAGCATAAACAATGCATTACATTCAAGATTAAGATATTTGAATAAATTATTTTTATTGTGACAAAATAGAAACAAGTTGTTTATTTAAATCAATCTTTTAGTCCAACAGTGCGCTTTCATAAACAACATATTTGCTTTCCTTTGAAGTATTTCAAATACATATAAACAACTCATTTAATGACATCTGTGTGTTTCTCGGAAGTTAAGTTATATTATTATCATCATTGCGAAAACAATACATGTACGTAACACTTCGATAAGTTATTATGTGCCTATAGTATACTTCTAGGACTGTATCATATGCCCTTAGATACAAATGACAGGTATAAACTATGTCACTCTACTGAGTTTAACACTTATTAAGTTAAAAAGGACAATAAGATGTTTAATGACATTATGTAGCAGGGCTTTTAAAGGCCCCTACATGATACAATGCATTTAATGAAAACTAAAAAAAAACCAGAAAAACAACAGCCTGATTTATATACAAAACAATAAAAGAAAAAAAATATGATAGACAACAATCAACGAGTATAATGAAAAGACTCTTGACTGGACACATATCCAGTCTAAAGTTTTTTATGTGTTTTTTTTTATAACTAAATGAAGTTCAGCGTGGCATATTGCTCTCTCTTAACACAGTCAGCCATTTATCGTCCCCTTCCGACAGACTATCATCGTTATTTGTTTCAAAACTTTAAAGGGGAGGGGATGTATATCCTTCAGGCAACGTGAATCGTTCTATAATAAAGGAATGTGCAAGAAGTTTATACATTGTATATGAATGTAAGATTAATTTTTTTTTCAGAAGCATGGCACAGCAAGAAAAAGATATAAGACACTACAAGACATTCCAAGTGATTTTGAATAAGACAATTGATTGACTTTTTCAATGTATTCTTAAATAAATCAAATAGTTGATGTAAAATGGTGTTTTGTTCTCATCTCTTCAGCCAATTATCAATGATTATTGACTTAAGATGTAACCCTATTAGAAGTGTAACGTTTTAGTTTAGAAAGAGAAGTTGTATTGAAAAATCTGAATTTGGGACACAAGTTTTAGTCAATGTAACTTGAACTTAAAAATGTGTATAATGTTTGCATAATGTCCAATGGCATATATGTCATGCATGTACAGGTTGACATATGCATGATGTGTGTAAGATAGGTTATAAAAGTTGAGAGTGAAAAACTAAACATTATACCATTGTGGTTGGAATGTGGGCTTTCTTGCACTGTCTGTCGTCTGTCCACCTATATTTATCGGATTTTGTCCAACAAATATTTTCATCACTGTTTTTCCCAAAACTGCTGATAAAGATGAGTTCATATTTAATGAGCTGCTTGATAGTGATGAACTGTGATGTGTGAACATTTTTTGCATCTGGCACCTGTTTCCTGTTTACTTATACATTGTATTTCAAAATGTTGAATGTTCTAAAATTTTTCATTACTTTAATTAGTAATGCTGATGAACAGAATGACTTCATATTTGGTAAGTGGCTTGACCATGATGAGTTGTGTCTGCCATTTTGGATGTGTCAAAATTTGTAGATACTTCTTGTTTTTAGAGACTTTGAATTGTGAATTTCATATGCTTAGCAAAACAACTGATTTATTCTTGTTTGTATATAAAATTAATCACTGTGTATAAATTAATTTAACTAATGATTAGTTATTTAAAAAAGCAGGAAACTCAATCAAAAGTACAGAAATTTTTATATTGATATGATCTAGATATCAACCAAAAACATTTTGAAAACATTTTTTAGGCACAGTCTCACTTGCAAGAAAACATCCCAAAAACATTTTTATAACATTATTTGATGTTCATGATGTTTTTCAAACGTTCAGAAAATATTTCTAGAAAATATTTTTTAAAAGATTATCAAAATATTTTATACGCCATTGTTTTTCACATTATCATGATATTTCTTTACAACATTTTAATTATATTATGCAAATATTTTAGAAAATATATAAGAAAACGTTTAAGCGATATATATTCTACCATACATTTAATGTTTTTCTCACGTTTTTTTGTGATATTTTCATGACATTAGACACAACATTTTAAAAACATTTTAAAGATGTTTTTGTGTTTGCTGGGAATGTCCTTCGTACCTTTTGTAACAATGTCCTACGTACTTTTGTTACTATGTCCTACATAAATTCGTTACAATGTCCTATGTACTATTGTTATAATGTCCTACGTAATTTATTTACAATGTCCTACTTAATCTGTTACAATGCCCTATGTACTGCTGTTACAATATCCTACATAATTTCGTTACAATGTCCTACGTACTTTTGTTACAATGTCGTACGTAATTTATTTACAATGTCCTACTTAATCTATTACAATGTCCTACGTAGTGTTGTTACAATGTCCTACGTACTGTTGTTGCAATGTCCTACGTACTGTTGTTACAATGTCCTACGTACTGTTGTTACCATGTCTACGTACTGTTGTTACAATGTCCTACGTACTGTTGTTACATCGTCCTACGTACTGTTGTTATAATGTCCTACGTACTGTTGTTACAACGTCCTACGTACTGTTGTTACAATGTCCTACGTACTGTTGTTACAATGTCCTACGTACGGTTGTTACAATGTCCTACGTAGTGTTGTTACAATGTCCTACGTACTGTTGTTACAATGCCCTACGTACTGTTGTTACAACGTCCTACGTACTGTTGTTACAACGTCCTACGTACTGTTGTTACAACGTCCTACGTACTGTTGTGACAATGTCCTACGTACTGTTGTGACTATGTCCTACGTACTGTTGTTACAACGTCCTACGTACTGTTGTTACAATGTCCTACGTACTGTTGTTACAACGTCCTACGTACTGTTGTTACAACGTCCTACGTACTGTTGTTACAACGTCCTACGTACTGTTGTTACAACGTCCTACGTACTATTGTTACAATGTCCTACGTACTATTGTTACAATGTCCTACGTACTGTTGGTACAATGTCCTACGTACTGTTGTTACAACGTCCTACGTACTGTTGTTACAACGTCCTACGTATTGTTGTTACAATGTCCTACGCAGAGTTGTTACAATGTCCTACGTACTGTTGTTACAATGTCCTACGTACTCTTGTTACAACGTCCTACGTACTGTTGTTACAACGTCCTACGTACTGTTGTTACAACTTCCTACGTACTATTGTTACAATGTCCTACGTACTGTTGTTACAATGTCCTACGTACTATTGTTACAATGTCCTACGTACTGTTGTTACAATGTCCTACGTACTGTTGTTACAATGTCCTACGTACTGTTGTTACAATGTCCTACGTACTGTTGTTACTATGTCCTACGTACTGTTGTTACAATGTCATACGTACTGCTGTTACAATGTCCTACGTACTGTTGTTTATATGTCCTACGTACTGTTGTTAATATGTCCTACGTACTGTTGTTACAATGTCCTACGTACTGTTGTTAATATGTCCTACGTACTGTTGTTACAATGTCCTACGTACTGTTGTTACAATGTCCTACGTACTGTTGTTACAATGTCCTACGTACTGTTGTTAATATGTCATACGTACTGTTGTTACAATGTCATACGTACTGTTGTTACAATGTCCTACGTACTGTTGTTACTATGTCCTACGTACTGTTGTTACTATGTCCTACGTACTGTTGTTACAATGTCCTACGTAATTTTGTTTTAATGCCCTGTGTACTTTTATTACACTTTTAGTATTTACGTTTCAGTCTTTAGTTTGTTTATAATAATGAATTGTGTAACTATTGCAGGTGCCTTCATACATTTGTTCATGTTCGTCGGGATAGGAAAGTCGTTTGGATTGTTCTTTGTCGAGTTTTTAAGAGTGTATGATACCAACTCTTCATTATTATCTGGAATTATTTCAGTACAAAATCTTCTTGTAAGCCTAGTATGTAAGTATATTTTACATTTAAATATTAATTTGTAAAAATAAAGATGTTTCATAATGAGCGTAATAAAACCCTGACAATTTTAATCTATGGCATGCAGTTGTAAGTTATATTTATCCTAAACATCAAGTAATAACATGCAGTTTAAGCTATTTGTACTAAAAGTCAAGTTATAGTGTACAGTTTTAAGATAATTGTACTTAATGTCAACGTATGATACGGAGTCTTGAGTTAATCATGTGTTGATTGCACTTGATGACAAATAATGATAAAATATTTTGTTGCATGCATGTGTCCGAATCATTTGAGGGAATTCTCAAGTCAGCAAAGACATTTTAGTTTTTACGGAGATGTTGTTTACCGAGCCCGGAAATTTAGATACGATCCAGGTAAACTTATCGATCCTTTAAATAAACTTATTCTAAAAGGTTATACCAATTCAACACTATAATTAGATCTTTGAATATTCTTTTTATTGGCATTAATATTGATTTTGTTATCAGAAAATAAAAATCAAATCTAAACTAAATATTATTTTTATATACATATATTCACATCCATGGCTCTACAATCTGTCGATACCTGTAGCTTGACATTGCACAAGGTCATGTTTTTCTCTGACTGTTAATGACGTCTTTACACTGAATCCATTGGATGTGTACCGATTGATATTTTAGTCTTAGATGGATGGTTTTTGCTTATTAGTTGTTGCTTTGAACTAGCTGTCAGTAACTGTAAGTACTCTCAGATCTTTACTTAGTGTCTTTTTGTTGTGGGGATGTATAAGTACCCTGCCACGTCCACTCTGTGTATTTTTTAGATGTATTTCTGCTTTGTATCGATCTAATGAGTTAAACCCTTTCCAACTGATTTTTTATAGTTTGTTCTTACGTTGTACTGTTACACCACTGTCCCAGGTTAGGGAAGGGTTGGTGTGCCTTCAAACTAGTTTAATCCCGCCACATTCTGTATGTGCCTGTCCCAAGTCTGGAGCCTGTAATTCAGTAGTTATCGCTTAATTGTTGCTTTTTATTATATTTGTTTTTCGTTCATTATTTTGTATATAAATCAGGCCGATAGTTTTCTCGTTTGAATTGTTATACATTTGTCATTTCGGGGCCTTTTATAGCGGACTATGCGGTATGGGTTTTATTCATTGTTGAAGGCCGTACGGTGACCTATGAATGTTAATTTCTGTGTCATTTGGTCTCTTGTGGAGAGTTGTCTCATTGGCATTCATACCATATCTTCTCATTCTTATAGTAATCCAAAGTGCAACTGATTTTATAATGAATATATATGCCATACTATATATTTATCCGTTTATTTTATTTTACTCTGCTAAAAAAGGACATATTTATATATTAGCAATGTATATGTTTAATAGAACACCTCTTTGGACGTAAAATGTTTTCACTTCATGAAATGATAAACCTCTTTCAAGTTTCTTTTAACTACATACACTGCAAGTGTTATACATGCACATTATTAACTATAAGATGTATATAACATGACAATGAATATGAATTTACATTTTAAAACAAAGTTAATGTGGTTGTTGGGTGGCTGTTTAACGTCCAGCGGTCACATAAATGTATATTGTTTCAGAAAAAGGAGAAGGTTTGGTACCATTAAAACGTTTAATCCCGCTGCAAATGTTAGCACCTGTCCTAAGTCAGGAATCTGATTACAGTAGTTGTCGTCTGTTTATGTCGTTTATACTTGTTTCTCGTTTCTCGTTTTTATATAGATTAGACCGTTGGTTTTTCCGTTTGAATGGTTTTACACTAGTAATTTTTTGGAGCCCTTTATAGCTTGCTGTTCGGTGTGAGCCAATGCTTCTAGTTGAAGGCCGTACCTTGACCTATAATGGTTTACTTTTATAAATTGTAACTTGGATGGAGAGTTGTCTCAATGGCACTCATACCACATCTTCCTATATCTATAATCAAGACGAGAACATGTTCATATCAAATGAATATGAACCCTGCTTTTTACTAGACTTATTCGCTGGGCCCGAATTTTAAAGATGATTTCTACTAATTCATAAAGTAGTAGTCCACAAGAAGAAATGTCACCCTACCCGGGCACATTACTCTGTCTCTGGGCCGACAAGTCTTTGCTCTTACTCCTACATGTCGCATGATTAGCGGAGAAACAGCAATTACTAATATTCAATTTTTGGTTCGGCCAAGCCGGGGATCAAACCTACGACCTACCAATCGGACAAGGGCATGCTACCACGAGACCACCGAGGCGGTTATAAGACAATCAAGCTGAGTTTAAATGTTAACGTACTTGCTCATTAGAGAACATATATTAGGCGTGACCTGCTTATATTTAGTGAGTTAACGTTTTTTTTTATTGTAGCTCTATTTACATTAAATGTCGGAATCAGAGTTGTTGGTTGTAGACTATTAATGATTATTGGAGGATTGGTATTATGTGGATCCTATATGCTTAATGCACTGGTGCCAGGAATAGCTGCTCTTTTTATAGCGCATGGTGTTCTTTATGGTAATATTGATCGATTTTGAATTTATTAGTTAAGGATGTTCGCTACTCTGTTTCAAAATAACAAGCCTTTTAAAAGACTGTTATAAAATGATAGTATATAAATAAAGGGACTAAAAAAGCAGAAAAAAAATGAAGGGTCAGTGTGCTTATTTTCAAGATTTAAGACACTGAAAATTTGGCGGGAAATGATTCTCTCTATATTTTTCATACTTTTAACATTTTCCGCTTTTCTCTTTTAAAAACTATGAAAAGATAACAAGGATTTTGTAAGATTTTCAAATATGGTTTTTAAAACTATATGTAATAAAATTATGAAAAGAAAAGTAGGGGTTAGTGGACAAATTGTTTTAATGGCGAAACATGGATAAAACCAGAGGATTCCGAAAAATTCAAAAACATCCTTAATCATTATGTAACTGATTTGTAAAAAAAAAAGAAAAGTAAGGCAGTTCAAACAAAGTGTTCTAACAAATTAAGACTGACTATTAGCATAAGAATAATTCTAGAATTAGAATAAAAAAAATATGCTTTTAATTCACAAATAGTTCACATATTTAAATGTTCTTTTTGGTTCCTTTCCGTTCTCAAAGTAAAAATTATAGGATTAAATACCACCTTGAATAACAATTGTATTACTCAATTCATAGCAAAGATGAACAAAATCAGCAAATAGAATGCGTTTTGTAAAGGCACGTTTTCGGTGAAAGATCAGACTAAAGACTATAAATCAATTGCATCTATAAAAAGAAATTCAAAAGCAGTAAAAAAAGAACAAGATTCTCTATAAGAGCCTATGTTGCTTACCTTGATTCTTACAAAATATTGATGTACGTTCGTGTAAGAGTTTAAAAAGAGCATGGTGCTTTAAAGCTCAAAGCCACCATTAAAAGCAGAAGTCTAAATTAAAAGACTGATAAGGACGTTCCCCTTAACAAGACTTATTTATTTAGTCTGAGTGCATTTATCAAATAAAACTTTTCAAACTCCATGTGAGTCCTCATTTTCAAATAACATTTGCTAACCCCATGGAGATCTATAATCAGAACAGGGGATTTGTTTTTAATTGGTTCATCAGATTAAAAAAAAAATGGATTCGGCGAAAAAGATGAAAATGAGATTTTGCATAGAGAATCGATGAGAACTTAGTGCCACAAATTTCGCCTTGTTTTGCCACCCGATCAACATTGACTGCGGATATAGTTTCACAGATCAGTCCCATTGAGTTTTATAAATAACGATTACCCTGTTGTTTCAGCGAAAAATATTTCGAACATTTTTTAATTGAATTACAAATTACCTTTTGAGGCCATATCTTTTGTAATTCGATACAGTAGTAATGAAATGAGGAGTCTTTATAAAAGACCTTCCATAGATGTCGTTCTTGCTATATTTATTCCAAATTAGCTAGGTCTATCAGCAGACGGATGACGGGTGCAAAGTGAAACATATAGCTCATTTGGTCCTAAAGACCAGGTGAGCTTAAAAGCACGAAACAATTTAGCGAGTGTTGCGGTTTGTGGTTATGAATTACTCAAAAATCAATTAAAAGTGTTGCCACAATAATAAGAGTACAATGTTGTCTGTTTTGTTTGTTTATTTTTGTGTTGCCTTTGATTTATGCTCAACATCTCTCTGACGTAATAAAACTTTATTTTAAGGTTCAAATATATAAATATATATATTTATGGTTCTGTAAAATTAAGACGTTGCTCTCATTTCAGGAATCGGCGTAGCATCTACCTCGGTATTGATATTTATTGAAATAAACAACTATTTTGAAAGAAGATTGGGATTCGCTTTCATGGTAGCTAGTGTTGGTGGATGCGCAGGAAGTTTTGTTTTTCCAATTATCATTCAAAAACTTATAGACACATATGGACTGCAAGGTGCTTTGCTAGTGATATCTAGTATATTATTAAATAACGTTGTTATCGGTGCTTTATACCGCCCTTTCATTTCTCGAGTGAGAACAAAAACAGATGTTCCAAAAAACACCAAGAATAATAATACATGTTATAGTTCAAGGAATGGAGAGCTAACCCAAGACGATAACACAAAAAGGTTTTCTAGAAAAGTTGCAGAAAACCCCATAGCCGAGTATTCTTTATCGGTAGACGACGTTGCGAATTATTATGAACCCGAGGTAGCTAGTGACGGGTTCAATGACTATAAATCTTACGTCAAATTGATTGCAACACGGAAAAGAAAACCGAGAAGCTATTCGGAAAGTTGCGAGACTACTTGTGTCGGAGTGGACTCTACAAAACTACAAAAGACTGTATTCCCTAAAATAGACATTTTTGGAGGTTTAGGAACAGCAAGTTCCTTTTGTTCAGTTTACAGTTTAAATGTTCTTCGTCAGCAGGAAATTAAACCAGATATCAAACCAGACTCAAAATCCGACAGCGCATCAGAATCAGGATCATGTTCGTGTTATGACATCATCGACTTCAGAATTTTAAAAAACCGCCATTTGTTATTGCTTTTATTCATGTGCCTCGTCTCCGTTGCTGGGTGTGGCTTGATTGTTATTTACATTCCACCATTCGCAAAAGACCATGACATTCCGAATGACAAAATAGCTATTCTCGTAACTTTAATGGGCGTGTTTGACTTGGTTTCCCGTTTTGCGCTTGCCTGGATATCTGATTCCAAACGTATCCGTCGTGATTATATTTTAGGATGTTGTTTAGGAATTACTGGACTAGCAGTAATGTTTAACCCTTTATACACCAATTTCGAATCATTCGTTGTTTTTTCAATAATATATGGAAGTTTTGGAAATGTTTATTTCTCATATGCGCCACTGTTACTGAGAGATTGTGTTGGTTCGGACAGATACCCGACAGCCTTTTCATTAATGATACAGGTACATGGAATAGCATTTGTTGGTTTTACTCCACTTTTAGGTATGTTTATATAGTCTGTAATATCGATCACGTGTTAAATTTGAATATGCGGGGGCGTGAGGTATATATACGTCTTTGAGACAGTAACCAAGCGACCTCAAATGACTAAAAGACAAGATTTTGCCATATGTTAGGGCCTTTTACAGTTTTATTTTTAAAGGGCGTACGGTAACCTATAATTGCTTAAATCCATGGACGATTGATGCATTGGCAGTCATGCCACATCTCCTTATTTTATAAAAAGACTAGTTTTTCTTGGCATTAATTCCATTGCCTGTATGTTTAAAGGTAAATGGGGTCATCATTACAAAACGCCCGATCAGACAGCAACCAAACGACGCAAATAACCCAACGATCTCAAGAGGGCAACATTCAGTCTTTTGACAATAAACAGGTGTCTAACCCAACGATCTCAAGAGGGCAACATTCAGTCTTTGACAATAAACAGGTGTCTAACCCAACGATCTCAAGAGGGCAACATTCAGTCTTTGACAATAAACAGGTGTCTAACCCAACGACCTCAAGAGGGCAAAATTCAGTCTTTGACAATAAACAGGTGTCTAACCCAACGATCTCAAGAGGGCAACGTTCAGTCTTTGACAATAAACAGGTGTCTAACCCAACGATCTCAAGAGGGCAATTCAGTCTTTGACAATAAACAGGTGTCTAACCCAACGATCTCAAGAGGGCAACATTCAGTCTTTGACAATAAATAGATGTCAATGCAATATGTAAAGCTTGTGGGAAATAAACAGAAAATATCACAGCTCTATCATCAAGGATCGCATATAAAAGTACATTAATCGGTTGCAGTAAGAAATACATATTATTTCATAACAAAGAATTGTGTTTTTCAGGTCTTGCTCGTGATTTAACTGGATCATACACACTGACGTTTTACATCATGGGCGCTGGAATTCTCCTTGGATCTGTTGCTGTATTTTGTGAACCAATATTTCAGTGGTTGGAAAATAAACGTAATAAAGTGTAATTTTCCAAAAAGATAGACAAGAGGCTTTTTTTTTAAATAGAAACAAAGATAGCCATATATGCTTATATTGTAAATAAAAGCACCAATACCTACTAGTACAGATAATACCTATCTTATGATGACTTAAACATTCTCGCCTCGGGATATAATTGATTTCATATATACATTATATATGACTGGTTCAAAGCTTAGATTTTAAAATTGGTAGTTGCTGCTTTTAATCCAATACATAGTAGTCTGTTAGAAATCGAGGTCTCGGTGGTGTCGTGGATTCGAACCCCGATCGGGCGAAGCCAGACTTGAAAATTGGTATACTTTATAACTACTTCTCCGCTAAGCACACGTCATTTAAGAGTAAGGGCAAAGTCTGGTCTGCTCGGAGTCAGAATACTGTGTCTTAGTAGGGTGACATGTCTCCCTACGGATTGTCACGATTTGAACTACCATATTAAAAATCGGTCTAGTACAAAGTAGGGATTATATTCACATCATATTATCAAGTTCTATTCCTGAATAATCATTTTACTTCATACTGGACTAAGACAGCCATCCATTCATCCATCTCTCGTCCTGAACATGCATGAACTATTTGCCACTGGACGTTAAGCAACCAATAATTAATCAGTCAACCTATCCTTCGAAATCTGAATGAAACAAGCATTCTGTGAGTATTGCGTGGCAATACATCTATAGTTCCCTACCGGTTACAAATTCATTGTAATGGAACGAAATTCTAACTTGATCTATAACTTGTCATGGTTTAACCCATAAAAATATCAAGTCAAAATCTTCAAGCATGACGAAAAAAACTGATTATTCAAGAGAAATTTCTATGTCCAAAGACCATAACTCAACACAAAATTATCAGACTGGAACAAAATTCCAATTTGATCTGTAACGTGTCATGATAAAACTATATACTAATTATCAAATCAATATCTTCAAGAATGACAAACAAAACTACCACTAAATTCTTCAAACAATTTACCAAAGAAAAGGAAAAAAATCCAAAATGTTATTTTGTCTTTTAAAGGTCTTTTAAAAAATGAGTTATTTCCCTTTGAACAGACATCTATTAATTAATAAGTATTTCATCAAAAATTTAATTCTAGGGAAAGCGCTTTAACTGAAAAAGAGAAAAGCTTAAATCGTGAAAATTGAACTTGACCTGTAACTTGTCATAATAAATCAAAAAACCAAATATCAAATCAATATCTTCAAGCACGAAGAAAAAAAGTCTGGAAAACTGATTTGCCGGACTGACAGATGGACAGACAGACAGATAGACGGACGACAGACGGACGGAGTGCAAATCTAAAATCCCCTTCGACTTCGTCGGTAGGGGACTAATAAATTGGGAATGTGTCCATGGGACACAGATGATGCCTCCGCTTGCATATAAAGTTATAAAGGGACATAACTTAAGAACGGTAAAAGTGACACTACCCAAATTTGTACTTGATCTGAGTTTTGTTGTAATAAGCATTGTGTGTAAGTTTCATAACATTTGCTTGTGGCAAACTAACGTTAGAGAACGGAAACGAAAAATTCAGCATTTTTTCCATTTGTAAAGGTGCATAACTCTAAAATGGTAAAAGTGACGCTACCCAAATTCAATTTGATCCTTGTTTTGTAGTAATAAGCATTGTGTATAAGTTTCATAACATTTGGTTGAGGCAAACTAAAGTTAGAGAACGGAAACGAAAATTTCAGCAATTTTTCCATTTGAAAAATGGCATACCTCTAGAATGGTAAAAGTGACGCTACCCAAATTGAAACTTGATCTGTGTTTTGTGGTAATAAGCGTTGTTTATAAGTTTTATAGCATTTGGATGAGGCAAACTAAAGTTAGAGAACGGAAAAACGAAAAATTCAGCAATTTTTCCATTTGTAAAGGGCATAACTCTAGATCTAGATCTAGAACAGTAAAAGTGACGCCACCAAAATTCAAACTTGATCTGTGTTTGTTGGTAATAAGCATTGTGTATAAGTTTCATAACATTTGGTTGAGGCAAACTAAAGTTGGAGAAAAGAAACCAATTTTGGGACGTATGTACGGACGGACAAGGGTAAAACTTAATGCCCCCTCCGCTACAAATGCGGGGATGGAAGACAACTTGGTCTGTCTACCATTTTTTTTTCAGTTATACTATTAGTTTATACTTGGGACTATTATACTATATATTATGTCCCAGTTTTTACTGAGACTACTATAACGTCTTGCATTCATCACAAACATCAAACATAGTTGACCTTGTGCTTATAGTATCTGAGAAGCTGACTATGTGGTATAGGCTTTGCTCATTGTTGAAGGCTGTACGGTGACCTATAGTTGTTAATTTCTGTGTCATTTGGTCTCTTGTGGAGAGTTGTCTCATTGGCAATCATACCACATCTTCTTTTAAATATCAACAAAAAAAATGGGCAATGAACTATGAAAATGAGGTCGAAGTCAGATGAACCCTACCAGAGAGACATGTACACCTTACATTGAATAAATTGACATATTCCTTATAGTATCTGAGAAACTGACAAAACCATGAAAACTTAACATTGACCACTGAAACTGTGGTTAAAGTCAGATGAAATCTGCCAGGACAATGTACATCTTGCAATCATTTCATACATCAATAAAGTTGACCTATTTCTTACAGTATCTGAGATACAGACTTAACCACAAAAACTTTACCTTGATCACTGATTCCATGAAATGAGGTCAATGTCATGCGAAATATGTCGACCTTTCATATTGAAGGATCTCATATACAGTTATCCTATAGTATTACTGGCTATTGTGATCTGTTTTTCTACAGATTTTTTTTTTTTTATATTTTCGTGATCCGTGATCATGGAAATTTATTTTCTGTGAATCGCGATTGACAAAAAAATCAACTCGTGAATCGTGATGAGACCCCCCCCCCCATCAGGCCCCTCATTACTCATGATAAGTGAAGATTCGGGTGACAACAAAACCAGTTTTTTAAGCAGTTAATTGCTGAACCATGAAAGGGAGGTAAAAGACCATAGACATATACAAACGGAAACTTCATAACATAAGGTGTTTGTTTACAAGATATGAAGCAACCAGGTCTTCTCCCTTCTGATATATAAAACTTTATACAAATAGCTAACATAGTCGCCACCACTGACAGATGAGCATTCCTAGCTATTGAGTCTCTCGCTTTCACATCATGTGACTTTCATTGCAGGTGAATCAGAAATCAGTTGAAAAGGGTTTGCATCATCAGATCGGTTCTTAGCATGAAAACATAGTCCAAGCTAGCTTTTTGAAAAAGTTTTTAAATACTACATTTCAATTTATGTTAGTGAATTTTATTGTTTTATTAATATGACTAGTAGTTAAATAGGTTGATGAAAAAGTTTTTTTAACGTAGAAAATATTGCCAAATTTCTGATCTTCATTTATTTGCTTTAACGATAAAATCTTCTGCTCCTTCCCAGAAATGTGATACAGTCATGAAAAATATGCTTGTAATCTTTGACTGCTTGCTATATATATGGACATGAAATTTTTACAGTTACCCATATCATTCATCTTTGGATGTTGGTAACTGCAGTTATGGTCATCATTTTAACCTGAGTGACTATATACCACTGCTTGTGTATTACAATTGGGGTTTACCGAAAACGAATAAAGGTTAACCAGTGCCATGTATGGATCAGGAACTGCTTATCCTTTCAAAGTGGCTGAGATCAGTCCTGGTTTTTGGTGTGGTTTATGCTGCTCAGCCTTTAGTTTTTCTATGCAGTGTTTTGTATACTTCTTTGTCTTTTCGTAGTTTTTCGTTTTTTGCCATGGAGTTGTTTGTTTTTCTCCGACTTATGAGTTTTAAATGTACCCTTGGTATATTCCTCTTTTTTAAATGAGCCTAGGGTAACACCTGAATGTACCAAAGAGAGAAGAGCGAAATTAAATTCATGTAACAGCTTTACAATATTTTAATCATTCATAAATATGTCTGTGATTTAATACAGTTTTACAACATACTTTCAGTGCATGTACTATTTTTTTCTGCAGAAAAAAAATCTGAATTAAAATTTATGATTATATCACTGCCATACTTTCCAAGTCTGATGAATCAATGCACATGAATAATACACATGAATAATACACATGAGTAATACAATGAATACTTTTAGTTATTACAATCTGAACTTTATTTAAAAGAAAAAAATATCTATTCTGGATTTAATTTGAATAAAGGGAGGTAAATATGGGGTAATTGGTTTTTTTTTATTTAATTTAATTTATTTCATAACACATTTTTAACTTTTAAATTCAATAAAAAGTTCCTACTTATATAATGGCTGGTTTAACTTTTGACTATGTTAACTAAGGGAGATAAAAATGCATGAAATGAAAAGCACAACATTTAAGGATGCTCTTAGAAAAAGATGTCCTATTCTTAATCTTAATTCAATTCCTAATTACTACATGTATTTCACACGTGTTTTCTTGTTCACATTTATTTAGTTTCAAGATGTTGGTTATCTTTTAACATGATTAATGTCGAAACTTTATTTACTGTATTTTACAATTTTCTCCTGGAATGTCAATAAATATCTGTATCCTTTATCTATCTTACAAGTGGTGTCTGTTTCAACTGGAGGAGGATTGATCGAAAACGTGAAACGTCCTTCATATTTTTAGAATTTTTGGGATTAAATTCACACAAACGACAAATCTTCTCCCATTCACCACCTGGCTGGGTCTCATCACGTTCTTTCACGAAGGCTGCTTCTGAAGCCCTGGAAATATATATAAACATCATTATAAAAATTTATAAGAATAAAAAGTTAATGTTAAGGTTGTAAAAGAAATTCAGTTTATTTAGCAAGACCAATAAGATGTGCTGTGAACTACATGTATACACTATCTCAATGTTGTTGACTAAATGTGAAAAGAAGATCATACTTGTTCATGACATTTCAAAGATATAAGTTTTTTAGGCAAACAGGAATTTGAAGAAGATCGTCCAATGCACTGTCAGACAACATATATAACATAGTTTAATATGATTAGATTAAGCTTGGTGCCATTTATGATGTTTATCTACTATAAGTTGTAGTTGCTGAGAAATTCTACAAAAATGTGTCACAGACAGATGGACTGAAACATGTTGTTTAACCAAAATATATATCTTCTATTCTTTGGAACAGGGGTTTTTAAACATCTAGAATTTAACAAACCGTAGCTTTTATATATAAATCTGAAGTAAACAATGTCATGTTCTACTAAGAGAATTTGTTTAATTTCATGGCAGATAATAAATCAGTACTTTTAACAATTTTCTGGTAAGGCATCTAATGAAAGTTGATTGCATTGACTAGAATACAAGTTAACTTGATAGTGACTCGTGGGGAAAGACTGCATGTAAAATTACTAATACAAATGGAGCAATACTACAAGATGATATCTATGGATAATGGACCCCTTAAGAACTCAGCTGTCAAGGTTCTACTATATGCAGAGAATAAGAATATAAATCCTATAAACCACAGTAAGTGTCACACAAAGATGTGCATACATAGAATGAGATTTTTCACAACAGTTAAGAAAGCATTTACTAGCTATAGAAGTTCACTACATCATGCATTATATTTTTAAGAAGCTGCATACAATTTTTCTCTGATTTTTGTGCTACTTTCACATTTCTTGAGCTGTGTGAGAAAAATATTTCTCCTTACTAGCGAAATATCTGTTCTCAGCAAATGATTGGTCGAAATTTAATTATGACGTTAAATTTTCTCGATTTTCTTCTGAATTTCCTATTGTGACGTCATGGAAAAAGGCGACCATGCCTGATGACGTCCCATATAAAGAACAAAACTTCCTGCAAATCTTTGAAAAGGAAGGATGCAAATCATTTATAAGAGAAACAGATTCCACCACTATAACTTGGGTATAACAATATTTCTCCACTCTCAACAGTTAAATTTTAATTATTTAAAAAACTTTGCGAAGCTTTAAATATTAAAATTTTAACTGTCTCGAGTGGAGAAATATCGTAGCACACTTGTTGCAGTGATGGAATCTTTATGTCTACTTTTTGTAATATGGAGTTATACAAATTAGAACATGTTGAAAGTAAATAGCCCTGTAATTAAATCATATATATATATATAATCTACATTTTTATCAAAAACAACACATCTTGATCAGTTAACAGGAGAACTGATTTCCAATACCTGTACATAATTATTTTCAGATCAAAGATGAATTATTAGCACTCTTGATTAATGTCATCACAAATGTAAGCAATTATACACTTGTATAGCTCTGTTTAATGTTTATATATGATTAACAAACATGATTAACCTGCAAACTGTTAAAGAGCAAGACAATCATTGACAATGAACATGATGAAATTTAAAAGATCAATGCAGACATATAAAATTATGACACATCCCACAAAATCTACCCATTATGGTATAACAGTACCGTACTTAAAGATTTGAAACCGTCAATTGAGGATTTGATGGTTGCAATTGCAGTTTTACTTATAACATGGAGGGGAGACAGTAATACAAATATTTGTGACAATTCAAATCTAAAGTTGACGGTAGCAACTCTTTCAATATACAGAACTGTTACAAATGTGTTATTCCTATATTCTATTGCAGGCAGTACTCATAAATGTTCGAAAATAAAAGATTTAAAATATCCCAGAATGCTTGACTGTGATTGCCCAAGGTTGTTGCTCATTGTACGTCATCTGTGAAATTGACAGCAGACGACCTCCAATGAAAAATGGTGTTACATGTCACATAGCATTAGAATACATTCATCATGCATTTCGTTCTACAGAAACCCACCATGCAATTTAGATTTATACACATTCTGATACCAGTTTTTGTGTAGTCAAAGGTACACAAGTTAAACTGATTCATGTGACTGTGTCAATACCCAGAGTAAAATTTCATAGAAAATTAAAGCAATGAAATAATCATCTATACAGATAGAATATATCTTTTCATGTTGAAAAACCTCTTTGCATCCACAATTTAAGTGCCTGTCACAAAATATGAAAACAAGACTTCATAAATTTCATGCGTCCAAAGCACTTTTCTGGAATAAACTTCATCAGGAACACTCAAAGCTGAATATTTGAAAGCCAAGTATGTATAAAATCAGGAATGTGACAGTCGTGACGATAATAGATTGATAATTGAATAATAAATGATTTTTCCGAAAAGTGGTCAATATACATAAATGTAAACATGGTACATGTAAATGCTCATACAATACCAAAGATAAAAGATATAACGAATTGTAATTTATAGTGTCCTACATGTATATACACATGATATATACAAAAATGTAGCATACACCAATTATTCCTAGAGATTCACATACATCAGTCAGGGGTACTACTTGTACAAGTTATTTTTAATTACTTGAAGAAGTAAATATTTAATATTTACCTATATGAGTAAATTTGTAAGATACTTATACAAACTTGTGTATTTTATTTACTTGTATGGGTAAATTATTTTATTGGCTTAGTTATGTCCCTTAGACATTCAGATTTTTTACTTATACAAATAAAAAAGTCACACTATCTTCTTTTCTTGAATTTCTCAAGACTTCTTTGCTCTAAATAGAATTTTTAATTGTCTGTCCTTCAGTCAGGGATATAACTCTTTAGGGTTATTACAGAAAATATCTTGCATGTGTTATTACAGATACTTTCATGAGTTGTCTACTCTTTAATCCTTAAATTTTCTAAATTTGTAATAACATATGTTTGTTATTTGTAGAATAAATCATAAATATTTTAATTTTTAGTGGGCTTTAGGGAACTCTTAAAACTTTGTGCAGAAACTAAATGCATAGCCTTGATAACTAATTTTTGAATTAAATTAATACATTTTTCATTAACCATGGTAAATCAATGAGACAAGGCTTTTAAGGGATAAACTTAGCTGTAATAACAAGGCTTAGTTATTAAAGGCATGTAACTTATTATATGAGACACTTGGGAATTACTGGGAAGCTTGCGCAGAACCTCATTACATGCTCTGATCATTATTTCTTACAATAAATTAAAATACATTGTAATTTATAAGCATGATGTATGTCTGAGCAAATGCTTTGGAGTAATGTAGAGAAGCTGTAATAAAACCCTTTAGTTATTACAGGCATATTTTGCTGTCATAACATAGGTGTACTATGCATGATTGGCAAACTATGAACTGTTATATCTTTCTATAGTTAAATATACATAAAGACAATAGTACATGTAATATCAATAGAACTTGTATACATTTTAACAAAACTAATGATGTATATTGTCCCTATGAAACATGTAACATACATATGTTATCACAGTTCTTTGATTTTTTAGTCCACAATAACAAATGTATGTTATTTTTCTCTAATATTCCTATAGAGTTATGTCCTTGACTTCCTTTGCAGATGTCTTTACTAATCATTTAAGTTTAATTTCATGGACAACGAAATAATCATTTGTCTGTTATCTTCAGAACACTGCTCATTTACAAGCCCCCAAGGGGCAATTTTTGAAGGCCTTGCGCAATAACTTAAGATCTTTGTGCACTTAGTTTCTTTGTTGAATTAATGAGATGAAACATTGAACTCTAATAAAAAATTATGAGCTAACCAGAGAAAAATTTGTTTAAGGCATGTTTTTACATCTCAAAACTTGAGAATTTTAGAAATTGAAAAAAAAAAAAAAAAATTTTGAGAAAATTAAGGGGAGATTATTCAAACCTTATACAGAAAATATGAACATAAAAAATTTACTTATATAAGTATATTATTATTTACTTCTTCATGTAAGTAAAAATAACTTGTACTAGTAGTTACCCTGACTGTACATGTATAATGAAATTGAACAGAAGTTTAAATAAAAGGAAAAAGAAATCACCAAACATTTGTTTCTCTTAATAAATTTTAATATTACTTTCATTATACATGTTATACTTTGCGATGCATATTTGAATCATCATTTTTCTTATGCCAAAATTTAAACAAGCAAAAGCACATACTAAATTAGGGATTTTAACATAATCTTAATTATGACTGCAGAAATAATTGTTGAACACATGTTGAATCCTACAATGAGTTGTATTATCACTCTAAAAAACTGAAGCAGTCTTCACTATTTACCACAACTTGGCACTGATTTTTTGTCTTGCAAGTCCAAAATGTTTTCATGATGATTAAATTAACGGTCACTAGCTAAAAAACTGAAAAATATATGTACAATAAAAGTAACTGCACAACAAAAAGTACCTGTAGCACATAACTACAGAACAAAAAGTACATGTAGCACGTAATTACACAACAAAAAGTACATGTAGCACGTAACTACACAACAAAAAGTACCTGAAGCAGGTAACTACACAACAAAAAGTACATGTAGCACGTAACTACACAACAAAAAGTACCTGAAGCAGGTAACTACACAACAAAAAGTACCTGCTGCTCCCGGAATCACTTAACAGTTGGATACTTACATGTTGTCCCGGCTGGATGATGAAAACATATGATTTGGAACATTATTTGGGATAGATAATGCAGAAATGTTAACATTGACATATAAGCATAACAATCAGCCATAAAGTTAGTAGTAAAAGCTAATGTGTTTTATAAGGCACATGTTTAAAAGTAAAATGAGTGAGTTGAAGCTTATGCAATATTTTAAAAGGCACACATATTAAATAGAAGATAGACATACACTTAAATAGAATGAGACAGAATACTAGGGTAAATACAGTTAAAAATCACTACTGATGGTGTTGAGGGTTTCACTGTCATGTATTGTCCTTGTAATATATCATACCAGGAGATACTGTAAGGTGAATCACCTACAATCACCAGCATTCACTGGGTAAATTTGACCTCAAAGACATGTTATGACAATTTTTAAGGAGAGAGATTGAAAAAGCTTACACATATATCATAAAAGGGTGTAGGAAAAATACACATCAGAATCTGACAGAAGATGGTGTGAAAAATATTTTTTTATAAAGGAAATCCTTTCTACATCATGTACATTTTAGTGTCGAGTTTATACAACATGTGCATGGACCAGAATAAAAATGCCACAATTGGTGTTTACTTTCTGCTTTGAAAAAAATACACCATATTCCATACCGGTTATTTTCTTTAGTTTTCTCTAACTGTTCAGCATGATGCTTGTACCAATCATCCAATTCTTTCTTTGCACTTTCTCTCATGTCTATTTTTCTTTCTTCCTCTTCTTTGTCTGCAATAAAAGTCAAGAAATTATACATTAATTAATTGGTTGATTTTTGTTAGCTTAATGTCCAGTTGCAATTAAATCATGCATACTGAGGACAAAGAAATTATTAACAATTAATACATACAAACAGTCAGGGGTACTACTTATACAAGTGATTTCATTATCACCTATTTCAGTGATTTGATAAATTCAGTTATCACCTATTTAAATGATTTTGGTGTTTCCTTTGATCTTCAAATGCTAATTTCATAAATTTTCCATATTTTTACACTTTTTTCTGTAATTTTCCTACATAGATCAATTATCCATCTCTCTTGTATATTAATTTCACCAGTGCGCTTGGGCAGTAAGTTAGTGCGTTAAAGCTTTTAAATGTACCCTAGGGAATTTTTCTGTAATCAAATATTTGTTTACTCTTACAATGAGACAAAGGTCAACAATTTCAAGTAACCTGATTGGTCTTCTTTAGTTATAATGATCTACTTCAAGGTTATGTCCTGATCAACAAAGTATTCCAGTTTATGCATATTTCAAATAAACTGTAAAAACTGACAGGTTCATCAAGCAAAAGATAATTTCTGCATGTATATAGTTGTTTTTTAAATGGAATCCTTGTCTTTTACCAATAAAAAAATCAAGCTTGTGGGATAAATATCAAGAAAATGTTATAAACCCTTATTGAAGTGATTACATTATTACTTCTCAAATTACTTGTTTCAGTGATTTTAAAAAGTCTGTGTCTATTTTTGTGAAAAGTTTCAAATTTTCAAAGCCAAAATCACTTAAAGATGTGATTCTGAAATCACCTGCATTAGTACTACCACTGACTGACAAAAAATGTAGGTTCTACAAGGTGGGAATACAGGGACGAAGGGCAGGAGAATTTAACACTGAAATTGATGTACAGCCTCTGAGGGAAAATGCTAGTTATGATATCAAAATGAGTAATGTTTCAATTTATTATTTCTTAAGGATGGTCTTCAGCAATACCCGTGGCCACTATAGAGAAATATTTCTGGAACCCCTCTGAGAGCAGCAATGTTGAATATCTACTTTAGAAATGACACTGACCTTAATGTAAATGTAATAATGAGGTACTTAGATCTTATGTAAAGCTATTTGTTTCATACTATACTCATGCAATCTTGAAATTATTCCAAGAAGTCTTTGGCTCAAAAGAAAACAATGAACATTCATTAATCTTAAAGAACTTGTTTACAGGACAAGACTGTAGTTTCTATCTAATGACAAACCTTTCTGCTCCAGTCTTTCTTGTTGTTCCTCTCGCCATATTCTGATTTTTTCAGGTTCAGCCCTTATTTGATCTTGCTGTGTTATGGCGGAAAATGCATCAGATGGTCCGTTAGTCTACAAAATGAAAATATCACTTTATAAATTGCATGCAATTTTTTTCTGGATTTATCTTTATACTCAGAAAAGGTCAAACAGAAATATTTAAAAGCCACTGATGTATATAAATACATTTGTACATGAAATATGTAGAAACAAGATCTGTACAATGAATTCATAAAAAGTCCTGTTTGAATACTTTACATGATTTCATTATTTCATCATGTTTATCTGAAAACATGCTAGATATCTATTTAGATTGTTTATTTTTGTGTCATTGTGCATGTTGTGTTGCTGTCTCATTGAGGCATATCCCACTTCTCTTTTTCTACACTCGTAATGAGTGACTGAGTTTTCCGTCAATCACTTTGCTTACTAGAATCCAATGTAGCTATCTAGGTTTTGACTGGTTGTATGAAAAACACTCAGTAACAGTCATGAGTACCCTCGGCCTTCTCCCTTGAAGAAAGAGTGTATTTGGAACTTTGAAAAACTGTACATGGAAATGTATGTTCACATACATGTAGCATAAACATGATAAAAACACTAGTGTCAGGGTAAACCAAATTTTAATAATAATTTACAGTAAACCCTGATTTTTTGTCTACTAGGGGGTGTTTAACAACCTTGACTACACATGAGGGTCTTGCACCGTCTGTACTTTTTGTTTGGAAAATAAATGTTCCAGTGTATATGTACAGTGTACCTGTGCTAAAATACTGATTCAAGAGTAACAAAATTGATAATACTATTAAACAAAATTTCACTATTACCATGATTACATTATATTCTATTAATCAGAATCTTTCCTAAATTAAGTTTTACAAGTAAATATATTCATGATACATGTATTATATAGTTTTCCCAGATCAAAATATAAACATGATCAATATATGTGGCTATTTTATTTTGTTGTTTTGCTAAACTCTGCATACAACTTGAACAAGCCTTAGTAGAAAATATGTATTTTTTTTAAATTTAAATTTGAGGTTCACCTGTACCCACAAAATCTGGTACCCCACAAATACCATGAATACATGACATAATAATCAATCCACAGACATGGCAGTATGCCACACAAACATGACAAATACCATGAATACATGACATAATAATTAATCCACAGACATGACAGTATGCCACACAAACATGACAAAATACCATGAATACATGACATAATAATTAACCCACAGACATGGCAGTATGTCACACAAACATGACAAAATACCATGAATACATGATATAATAATTAATCCACAGACATGGCAGTATGCCACACAAACATGACAAAATATATACCATGAATACATGACATAATAATTAATCCACAGACATGGCAGTATGCCACACAAACATGACAAAATACCCAATACTGTATCTATAACAATACCTGTGGTGCTTCCTCAAAGTTTTCGTAAGAATCATAGTTTGTTTGTTGAGTATCAGCATGATCAGTTGGACCATTAAACATTCCTAAATCATCTGAAATCAAAAATTGTTTAATTATTAGCCATGTATAATGTGTACATTTTGTTACGTATTAAGCATGCTAAACCAGCGTTCAGAGTTTTGTAATATTTTTATTTCATCAATCAGAAACATATCTAATCAAGACATTTCTGTTGTATTTCTTATCAAAATATAATAAGTTTTATCATATTTTTCAGATACAGGGGTTAAAAAATCTACAAGCCTGATGCCCGGTACTAGAACATTTACAAAATGTATGCCTGGGCAATCAAAACTTGTAATCCAATATGCCTGACAGACTAGTAAAAAAAGTTCTTGGCATTACCATCCCTTCCTAACTCTTTTTATCTTAGGTAATCAGGTTCAATTACTTCATCCAGCATGTCCAGGAATCCAGGAATTTGAACTGCTTTTTTTTACATGTTTTAAAAATAGAGCAAATAACTGCATGAACTGGGTGGACCGGTATCATAAATTGATCGCAATTCCCGTACTTTCAATATCGATTTGTCAGTACTCGGGGATATTGTACATTGCTCATGCCGAGACTTTCAACATGTTCAAATAAATTGCTTCGCCGGGCACAGCTGGATACGACCGCAGAGGTCCAACCATGAACAGTTGGGGCAAAAATGGACACAATATTCGCGTATACAATAGAACGGTTGTGTATAAGTTTTATAACATTTGGTTGAGACAAACTAAAGTTAGAGAATGGAAATGAAAAATTCAGCAATTTTTATGTTTATAAAGGGACATAACTCAAGAATTGTAAAAGTGTTGCCACCAAATTTCGTACTTAATCTGTATTTTGTAGTAATAAGCATTGTGTATAAGTTTCATAACATTTGGTTGAGCATGTTGAGGCAAACTAAAGTTAGAAAACGGAAACAAAAAATTGGTACTTGATCTTAGTTTTGTGGTAATGAATATTGTGTATAGGTTTCATAATGTTTGGTTGGGGCAAACTTAAAGTTACAGAATTAAAACTAAAAATTTTGCAATCTTTCGATTTTTAAAGGGGCATAACTCAATAATGGTTAAAGTGACACTACCCAAATTCAACTTGATCTGTGTTTTATCAGTGGAAGTCAAAATTAAACATTGCATTGTATAAAGCATTGATTGTAGTTGATTCAACTATAATCATGGACAAAGGAAGATAACTCCAATTTTAAAAATTACTTGATATTTAGAAGAAAATAAAAATTTTGCAATTTTTCCATTTATAAAGGGGCATAACTCAAGAACAGTTAATGTGATGCAACCAAAATTCAAACTTGATCTGTGTTTTGTGGTAATAAGCATTGTGTATAAGTTTCATAACATTTGGTTTAGACAAACTTAAGTTAGAGAACGGAAACTAAAAATTTTGCAACTTTTCCATTTATAAAGGGGCATAACTCTAGAACACTTAAAGTGACGCCACCAAAATTCAAACTTGATCTGTGTTTTGTGGTAATAAGCATTGTGTATAAGTTTCATTATATTTGGTTGAGGCAAACTCAAGTTAGAGAACGGAAACCAATTTTGGGACGTACGTACGTACAGACGGACAAGGGTAAAACTTAATGCCCCCACCACTACGGCGGGGGCATAAAAATTCTTTCCCTCAAGATATGGTCATAATCTCAATTCAAATTACCAATGGAGTTTGCAACCATAATTAAACATTTAAATACATCATAAAAGTCTTAAATAGATAATTTAAAAGCAGTGTAAGGGGGAAATCCAACATTGTACAACATTGTACAATTTTGTTTTTGGATTACCTCCCTTACACTGATTTTAAATTTTCCATTAACCAAGAACTCTTGTCTTCCCCCTTTTTTGCCCCTAATTCCTAAACGGTTTGAGCCATAACCCCCCAAAGCCAATCCTAACCATCCCTTTCTGGTATGGAAACTTGTGGTATAATTTCAGAGAGATCCATACACTTAAACACAAGTTATTGTCTGGAAGTTACAAAAATGCTTATTTTTGGCCCCTAATTCCGTAACTGTTGGTACCATAACCCCCAAAATCAATCCCAACCTTCCTTTTGTGCTATTGAACCATATGGTAAAATTTCATAGAGATCTATTAACTCAAACTAAAATTATTGTGCGAAAACCAATGTGTCTTCGGACGATGACGATGTCATACATGTCATACCAATATACAAAATGTATGACAGCAAAAATTTTTTGCGGTCGTATAAAAAGGAGGGACCCTACAGTACCGGTATCAGGTCGATCCAGCCCCAAGTTGTTGTGGCTCCAAGTCGACCACGCCCCATAATAAAATAATGATTAGTTATTATAAAAGACAGAGAGTTTTGTGAAGTACAAGTGTACATGATTCAGGGAAAGCGGCAATTTGCACATGAAAAGTTGTGAAAATTTCGCTGATCAGAGGAATGTATTTTTAGAAAACAGGTATTGATCATGTTGATGATCAATACAAAAGGTTAGTTACTTTTTATGGAAGGGATTCGGCAAATCAAACAATATTTCTCAATTCGAGCAGTTTTTATACCTTTTAAAAGAAAAAAGAAATGGTTGCAATAGCTTGGTGATCAACCAGGCCTCTACAATAACTTTTTTCAGCTTGCCTAATAGCATATAGGACAAGTACATACCAAACCTTACTTGTCCGAATGGAATTGTAACTTGTCCAAAAAAAAAAACCTTTATACATGTATTAACCTTTTTTGCATTTTCATGATTTTAGCTTGATTCAATGAACAAAATGAATTAAAACAATACATGATTGAGTTAAGCTATTTCAGTTGATATTTTATAGTGTGTCTTTCTATGTTGTGATATTACACTATTGTTTCAGAAAAAGGGTGAAGGTTTGGTACCATTAAAACGTTTAAACACGTTGCATTTGTATGCACCTGTCCATGCTGTCCTAAGTCAGGAATCTGATGTTCAGTAGTTGTTGTTTGTTGATGTGGTTCATAAGTGTTTCTCGTTTTCTATATAGATTAGACCGTTGGTTTTCCCGTTTTAATGGTTTTACACTAGTAATTTTTGGGGCTATTTATAGCTTACCATTCAGTGTGAGCCAAGGCTCCGTGTTGAAGACCGTGCTTTGACCTATAATGGTTTACTTTTATAAATTTTGACTTGGATGGAGAGTTGTCTCATTGGCACTCATACCTCATCTTCTTATATCTACATGTATGTATATAATAGAACAGAAATTGATTAATGCCTTATTATTCATAATTCTTGATATCCTTTTCAAAAATATGAGTCGAGAACAACTGAATCTAGTCATGTCTAGTCACAGGACTTAGGTTTTAGTTTTCATCAATGACAAAGTCTCATCAGACTCTGCACATCAGGCGCAGCAGAGGTTTCGAAGGTTCTTTGGACATCAGTGGTCTTTTGGTCCAGTAATTGTTCAAGCATTACTGGTCCAGTCAGTGTTTTAGCAGTCTTTTACATTATGAGTTTTTCAAAATTCTTACATCTACACTGGTCATTTGGTCCAGTAATTGATGACATTTTACTGGACCAAACCATTTATTACTGGACATTGCCACATGTCTGATGGACCTTGGGAATGACTGGCAGTCTGCATGGTCTGGTAGGCCTGTCAGTGTACACTCATTTGGTTTGTATCCTGGTCATTTATGTTGATAATATATTGATTATTATGATTAATGCCTTACTACCAATAAGCTTTGTTCTTAATATATTAAAATGTTTATTCAAACACAATCAAATATTGTTTTGTCTAAATATGATCAAATATGATTTTATCATGTTTATGAATTTTATGGTCAAAGTTGGATTTAATTTATTTTCTACAGAATGATTTTACTTGTCCCGTCAGACAAGCTTGATATGGCTTTTACTTGTCCGACCTTTTTTTCCCCTGGTACTGGACAATTGGACAAGCATTATCAGCTTTCAATTTAGTCTACTGAAATGGTCGCCTGGGCGACTTTAAAAGCTGATTGGCGACCAAAAATTCATAACTGGTCGCCATTTAGGCTATTAGAATATTGAAAATCTGGCACCCGTAAATTTTTGGAAATTTTGCCCTGATCAGAGCCGGGTTTTAAAAAATCGTCTGAGTGCTTGACAGTAACACAAATGTATACTGTAATTCAAGCGCCTTTTAGATTTAAGCTTGATCTTGTCAGTGCTTTATTGCATCAGGTAATTGTAGTTCATTTGTAAGCAATTTTTTGTCGATGACTGAAAATGGCAAAGATCTATCAATTTCTACTTCGTCATGTTCGTATTTCCGCACTTAATCACAACTTTGACTATTGTGTGCCGTTAGAAAGAAAACTATTGGCATTTATAGATTGTGTGTTTATTGAAAGCACATGTGGTTGAGCCTAGTTCTCGATTTTGTCAGTAAACTGATGGAAACAAGGTCGACGACAATTTTGTAATTTGTTCGCATAGATTCAATAAAATACCAGCTACAATTTCGCAAACGATTACAGGTGTTCACTTGACCGATGGGGCAATCACCAGTGCTTAGAACTGCACAAGTCTGATGATATTTTTACTAGACTGGGGCTTTGGACTATCGATTAACATCGCAGACTGTTTTAAAACTTGTACAACGAATATAAAATTAAATAAATCATGTGGTTATTTTACAGTTGATTTATACGAACTATTTTCTACACTCGACAGCAAAAAAACTTAATACTTTTATTTCACAAGGGTTGTTTAACTAGAAAAAAAAAAATGTAGGCAACCTGAAATTATTTCCTGGCCACCAAATTTTCATGCCTGGTGGCCAGTTGGCAACTTCATTTCAGAGGCTACTTTGAGGGCTGATTATTGTTGAGCCCTGTCATGCCTGTCAACTGGTCAACCTGTGTGTAACCAATGTGTTAATTACACCAGTTGCTGAAAAGATTATCAAGATCAAAGTCATATGACAAATGCTGATTAATGATTGTTCTAATATGTGTTTTGAGTATACATGACCCTTTGGTGGCCTTGGGCTGTTTTTTTTGCTCTTTGGTCGGAGGGGGGGGGGGGGGGGGGTTG